CTCTGGTATCCCCACCTTTACTTTTATCGTAAGTCTAACACATAAAATGGATAACATATAGATCAATCTACAATATAACATAAAATTTTTGGCGATCGGAGTAAATGTCACGTGTTTATAATGCCACGCCCCTTTGAGGTCTGAGTCGAAAATCTGCTGTTGCCGGCACTTTTTCGTGAAAATCTCTCGGCTACACATAGTGCGCATTAGTGCCTTGCGCTGAACAGAGTTTCACCAAAATCGCAAAGACCCAATTCGAGAAATTCAGCGGTTTCCAAATTTAGGTCATAATTTATGCGAAAATGATAAGCAAACTTTACACTGATTATATCTGATAAACTATGAGATTCATCTCTTTATTTTGGGCATCGTTATAACTGATGGGTCCTTGCAAGTCAGCAAAACGCTTTAGGGCCTTGTAAATGCGCGCGATTTCGAGCAAAGCAAACATATAGAAATTATAGTTTTCGCTATTTGTTGACGTTTGTAAGCGTTTAAGAGTCCTTCTCACGAAAAAAGCATTTTCTTAAAAATTCGTAGTTTTTTTTCCTTCAAATTTTTTCAGGGCCACAATTGATTAACTAACTACCCGGACTCTGAATTTCATGGTCATTGAAAAACTGTGACATTATCTTCTATGAGCCCAAACTTGAGTAAACATTGAAGATTTTTAGCGTTTTGGCTGAGTTTGTGCTTTGGGAGTTGTCTATTGTTTCTAGTCTGTCATTATACAGCATTCTTGTTCAGCATGCGTGCAATGACCACGCTTGGCTGACTTCCGAATGCTCACCGAGATATTCCCGTCACGAATTAGTTTAATTATTGGCTTGCATTAAACCTATGAAAAGATGATATTTTTTTAATAATAAGTAGATTTAGTGTGTAGCACTTCTTGATTTTTTTGCAAAGGCACAAGAAGCACGAGAATTGATTGAAAATTGTGAATTAAACCTCTATGTATCACGCGATGGCTTGTCTCACTGTACCAAAATTAATCATATTTCGGCGAGCATTCGGAAGTCAGCCAAGCGCGGTCATTGCACGCGTGCTGAACAAGACTGTTGTATAATGACAGACTAGAAACAATAGACAACTCCCAAAGCACAAACTCGGCCAAAACGCTAAAAATCTTCAATGTTTACTCAAGTTTGGGCTTATAGAAGATAATGTCACAGTTTTTCAATGACCATGAAATTCAGAGTCCGGGTAGTTAGTTAATCAATTGTGGCCCTGAAAAAATTTGAAGGAAAAAAAACTACGAATTTTTAAGAAAATGCTTTTTTCGTGAGAAGGACTCTTAAACGCTAACAAACGTCAACAAATAGCGAAAACTATAATTTCTATATGTTTGCTTTGCTCGAAATCGCGCGCATTTACAAGGCCCTAAAGCGTTTTGCTGACTTGCAAGGACCCATCTGTTATAACGATGCCCAAAATAAAGGGATGAATCTCTTTGTTTATTAGATATAATCCGTGTAAAGTTTGCTTATCATTTTCGCATAAATTATGACCTAAATTTGGAAACCGCTGAATTTCTCGAATTGGGTCTTTGCGATTTTGGTGAAACTCTGTTCAGCGCAAGGCACTAATGCGCACTATGTGTAGCCGAGAGATTTTCACAAAAAAATGCCAGCAACAGCCGATTTTCGACTCAGACCTCAAAGGGGCGTGGCATTATAACCACGTGACATTTACTCCGATCGCCAAAAATTTTATGTTATATTGCAGATTGATCTATATGTTATCCATTTTATGTGTTAGACTTACGATAAAAGTAAAGGTGGGGATACCAGAGAGCTTCAAAGTAGGATGGTACCCCCCAAAAAACTGGGTCGAGTCACCTTAATAGGTCAAACTTTCTATCTGTTGTTAACTATTGCAAACAATAAAATCTGATATCAAAGACTAGGTATTTTCCCCCTTAAATATTTGAAAATGAAATAGTTTGAAATAAACCATGAAGTAGGATAATATAAACAGACCACTTTGATGTGGGCAGTTTTTCATTCTAATAACATTTGAACTTCCAATCAATCTAAGGATAGTACTAATAAAGAGTGACGTCATAAAAATAAAATTTCTGAAATTATGGTATTTGTCAGGATATTCTGAAAGAACAATGACCAAAAGGCCTACTTGCCAAAAATGAGCATTGCAGGGCAAATTGTCTCTGAGATCGTAGCCCAGTTATGCTCAGAAAACTCCATACAAACCCTTCTAAATTTTTTTGGGTCGACCCCCAAAAAATTAGAAGGGTTTGTATGGAGTTTTCTGAGTGTAACCGGCTAACGTATCAGAGACAATTTGCCCCGAAATGCTCATTTTTGGCAAGTAGGCCTCTTGGACATTATTCTTTCAGAATTTCCTGACAAATCCCATAATTTCAGAAATTTCATTTTTATGACGTCATCCCTTTAGTACTCTATTTCGTAACCCCAGAAGGCTATCTTGCACAGCAAGAGCCGTTGCAAAATTTGCGTAAATTTTTTAACAATGCAACAATTCACAAAAACTAATACATCGTCTTTTATCCTTAAAATTTTACAGCCGATACTGACGATACTTAAGGAAAAATTAGAAAAGCAACAGAATACGCTAAGAAATGGCTAGTTGAAACTTTACTATAAACTGAGGTTTACCTCACATTTTAAATGCTTTTAAAAAAGTAAGGCTTCAGTCACGTCATGTTATCATTTAGAATAAACACCTGCTTGGCACCTCTTCATTTTCCTTCGCTTACATTTAGTATATTTAACCAAGATTAAGATAACACAGGAAATTGGTAAATCAGCTGACCCTTATACTCAAAAGAGTGGCGCCATGTCCAAAGCCTACTTCTCCTTTAACGGCTTTAAGTATGTGTTCTCTTTGTAGCTGTGTAATGTTTGAATTGAAATATATGAAATGAATCACATTGTAAACTGTGGATAAAGATAGGGAAGTGAACATACTCCTCGCAGTAAATAAACAACCAGATATGAGGTGTTTGAAAAATTCAGGCTTGAATTGTCAGCGAATTGAGGAGTGATATTCAAAATCGTTACAGGAAAGATTTTGTACACAAAAGAAAACAAAAAAGAATCGAGAAAATTATATTTCCGTACGGCAATAAAATTTACATACATACAGTCTAGTCTTATTAAACTTGAAAGGTTGGCATGAAGGTGGTTCCTTCGTAAGCCAAGAGACCTAAAACTTCTTTAAGAAGGACTTCTATCCAAAAATATGAAATAGCTCAAAATTGCCCTTTTTTTTCCCCTCAATTCCCCTCCCCTTTCTAACGGTGATCGCATTCCATCGTGTTAAAAAATCTCCGCTGATCATTGCAATTGTAGATTGAATAAATAATAGTAAGCAGCTATTTCCATTCAGCGAGTCAGAGCTTTCCCATACTCTGCAAATTGCACGTTTCGACATATTTTACGTCTGTGTCGTTTCTTTTCGCGGCCATCGCTCAGGTATCATAAATCTTTATTGGTTTTCACAATATTTTTCTATTTATTCTTCAAATACTTTACTTTACTTTACTCATTTTTTTCTATACTTTTTTTACCCACGACATTTACTCACACCCACGACCCACGACCTCTACCCACTAGACACGACCCACGACATTTAGCTACACTCCTTTGCCATACTGCTAGGCTGATATGTGTACATTCGAAATCATGGAAGAATTGTGCTGCTTTTCATATATAGTAATCATTATTTTATTTATCACTGAACTTGTAATCGGGCAGGACAATTGACATTTAGTTATGAAGTTCAACATAACTGTGTGACCGAGCTCAGCAAGGATCTTCAATACCACCGCCCTCAACTATAGAAAGGGAATCCAACTGGTGGAAGTTCTTCTGTATAATTTGATAACGATTTAAATTAAATACGCTTTTTTAAAAAAACTTTTGTACACTAGATTCGATTGATAATGAAATAAACTTTCGGTTAGACCACTAAGTAACCTTGTCCCTGGCAACGAAATTGCTTGATGAGTGCTTTAGCTTCGGAAGACAGTGTTAATTTTACCCTATAACATAACTCGAAGGGTGTATTGGTCTAATAGAAATGGACGAAAGAATTACACAAAGATGCTGTCAAGTGGCGATTTATAAGATAACCCGAGGGACATACCTGGAAATAGTTTAGAATTTGCCTGCATTCTGAGGATCAGAATAAAGCCTTACTCTTACATTGTTAGTAAACACCCATCTATTCAATCCTGTCAGCTTACGTTGGATTCGCGCTCTCCCAAGTTTGACAGGACGGGGCAGAGGATTGGAACATGCCCTTAATCAACACCTCTTACAAAAACGGGAAAACGTAATGTCATACAGCGCCAGGGTTTTTCAGCCTTATCAGAGGATCTTCTAAATAAGCCTGGAAAGGCTTCTAAGTCTTCCTGATTAATACTGCGAATAAAATATGGTATTAGTAAATGATCTAGGGCAAAAAACAACAAAAACAACAATAACCAAACCTTTATCATATTATAGTGTCTTAAATAATATGCTTAGTAGCTAATTGGGGATACTATAATTACTAAAATACGTAAAAGTATAAAAATATGTATACTAAATTACTCAAAAAGGTAATTAAATTAATACAATGCATATAAAAAATTACCCTAATTGCCTGTGAATGTCTATAAATACCTATTTCCTATGAAATTAAAGATCAAAATGAACATAAATGACAATCTTTTCACAACTGTCCTCAAACACGTTTGCTAACTAAAGTCTCTTCGTCTTATATTTCTGAGAAAAAGATTTAAGTTATCACTATTTGTACCTACACGAAATGTATAGAAAAAACTAGAAAAAATCGTGAGTGTCGTAGTGAACCACAGAACATTATCCAACCGAACGCTTAGCTTGAACACTTGACTTAGCTTAAATATCTCTTTTCCATTTGATCACGTTCGTCATGATAAGCAAATTTACAAGGTCTTTCAAACCAAAGTTACTCAGGTTCATGGTACTGAAGGTGTAGAATTGACGGGTAGCAGGAGTCACGCAGAATGAAAGAGGCGCCGAATATATAGTAAAAGGCTAGAGTGAAGTCAACGCAACTTTGACGTCTGGATAGAAACTTAACCTCCTGTTTATCCTGCCTACCCCATCCTTGAGTTGCGCAAATGGCACCTAAATAAAAATGTACCAATTTCACCTGTCCACTTTACAAACTCAGGAAAGGCCACTTCTAAAAGTTAATGTTTACTTAACAATTTTTTACAAGTTCAATGACACGATAACTCATGTTCACAAGTTCCTTGTTTCAGTCAGCACCTTCGAGATCTTTCAGACTGATCTTACCCTTAAAAACACCTGCAAAAAAAGTAAAAGGAAAACGCAATCATGCAGGGTCGCTTTCGTGTAAATCGTGTAATCGAATGACATATAATAAAAGGCAACTTCCAATTGTTCCCGCTAAAATATCGAACTCCTATCGCTAAAATCTCAGGACTATCGAAAAACGTGCGTCAAATTCATGAATTGTTATCTCTAATCAAAATCTCGGGGCTACCGCCAAAAAGTTAGAGGTATCGCTAAACAAAAACAGTGGCTATCGCTGGCTATCGCTAATAGTCCATTGCTATCGCTACAATATTCAGCTCTGGCGCAAAGATCTCAAGCTAACGCTGAGATCTCAGGGCTATTGAGAAAATGGTCAGTATAAAAGAAAGCGAACAGAAGGGAGTTGCCCTTTGCACATTTGCTAGAGAAGCAAGGCTGCGAAACCAAACGCTTCTGGAACTGCTTGCGCCAGTACTGCTCACAAGTCTTCCACTCTGCTTCTACATTCTACTGAGTTTAAACGTGATTATCATGTCGCTCTGAGCTTGCTCTGGGTCGCCGGGGATGAATCTAATTTAAAGTGAATGCAATGTTTTTTCTTTATCAAATAATCACCTCAAGAAAGGTGTATTTACTCTAACGTTTCTTCTCAGTGATCGATATACCGGTAGGTTGCTATCATGTGATCTTTGGAATCTCAGCCAACGTTCTCTACATTTATATTTCAGTTATTTCATGGAGAGTTCAGGGCATGCTTTACGAAATATTCAGCACAAACTCACAAAATAAAATGAATTGGAGATTCGTTCTCCTATCTTCTCTGTACAGAGAAGAATTACACAGCAGATAATGGGACTAGCAAAATAATGTCTCCCGTTACAGAATTTTGCATCAGAATGCGTTGTCACAAACATAAACTGTACATCTTTTGATTGAAAATACGTAACACTTAACAATATCCAAAAATGGTGTCAATTACTAACCTTTGAATGACACATCATCTCCAATCAGCATAAACGGCGCCCACTGCTTAAAGTCAGAGAAGCGATTCTCTCTCATCCATTTCATGGCCTGGTGAAGAGATTCACTTGCACTTTCACCACGAACGAGGTGCTCGTAAAAATGATTCATAAACTGCATGGTAGCTTTATCCTCTATAGCCCACAGTGCCGCCAGCACGGCGCGTGCACCCGAAGCTAGAAATGCTCGAGCAATTCCAACAACTCCCTCAGCTCTCACTTGGCCACTAGCACTATGACAGCAGCTAAGGACAACCAGCCTGGCAGTCAGTCGAACTTGCGAAATTTCAGCCATCGTCAATAAGTAGTCCTCTTCGTGCGGGGTTCCGTACCGGCTTATAGGGGAAAGAGCAATTTCTCCACGTTCCTCATACCCATGAGCAGCAAAGTGAATGAGACTTACGGGATGCATTCTTTCCAGGACTGCTTGCTTAGTAGCATCTTTTCCCAATAATGGCTCAACTCCGAGCAGTCGCCCAATCATCTCTGCTTCCTTTCTTGCCCAAGGCAAGGGACATAATTTTAGAAGTTTTCCCTGGTAGTATACACCACTGACCTCTGGCTCTCCTATGACTATTGCACCGGTTTTACTGTGGTAGTCTACTGGACTGCGCTGAATCAACCTTAGAGTCGTCAAGGAAGGTACAATACGAATCCTGAAAGTATCCGATAAATAATGTCCATTATCATCCTTTAAAGCTGCAAAGGGAATTGGGTACAACAATGGATCCGGTACGATAATGATTTCTGATTCTTGTAGTAAGTCAACTACAGGGGCGACGATGATATTGTAGCCATCAGCAAGAGTAAGCTCCTCAGAGTCGTGCGTTTCGTGTTCCTCTTCTTCTATAAAGCGTAATGTTGCAAAGGTGTCATCCTGAGATGGTTTGCATGATGGCGGGGAGCTTAAATATGAACAAAAAAATGATCGATCTTCGCATTGGTCTTGACGTAAATCCTGAGGGCCACCAAATCTTTGATTTTCAAACACTTTAGCTGCACTTTCTTTGAGTTTCGTGTGTCGCAAAACTATGGTTTTGTTTGGCTTAATGATCCAAAAATACATCTCATCATGGAAACAGGATATGTATAAACAAGAACTAAAGGCATTTTTGCTCATGATATTCTCAACACCAACCCATGATTTTGGGTTCACTGATACCTTTTTTTTCACAAAGTATTTATCTGACAGTATGTCTGCAAGTGCTCTGGACCGTCCAAGCTCGGCAACGTAAAGAGCTTCATAATAGCTGCCTGCGGAAGTCAACAACTGGCAAAGAAGAAGGTAAGGGGAGACATGCTCATCAAAAAATGAAATTTTCATTTGATCTTTCACTCTGAAATAATCATGCATTTCTTCGCACTTTTGAATGCTTTTATAGAGATTTCGCACAAGTTCAATGATGCTTCCTCCTGCCTCTAACAAGTTCAGAGCCATGCTAAGGTGGCTGTGAAACTGCAATTCAATGTCCCGTATTTCGTAACCTATCTCAAGTGCTCTATAAGCAAATTCTTGACCCTTTTTATTAAGCTGAAAGAACAAAGTACAAAGTGCTCCCAGATTTAAGTATGAAGCTGCAACACCACGTCTGTTTCCGATTTCATGGTGGATCGTCAGTGATTTCTGAAGGTATTCTTCAGCCTTGGTATATTGACCAGCAGAACGAAACACAGCTCCTTCTCCTTGTTTGTCACCGATTTCTTTCCTGATCAGTAGTTCCTTTTGAAGGTATTCTTCAGCCTTGGTATATTGACCAACAGACTTAAACATAGTTCCGAGATTTCCGTAAGCAGATGCTTCTCCTCCTTTGTCACCGATTTCTTTCCTAATCAGTAGTGCTTTCCGAAGGTATTCTTCAGCCTTGGTATATTGACCAACAGAACAAAACACAGTTCCTAGATTTCCGCAAGCAGATGCTTCTCCTTCTTTGTCACCTATCTCTTTCATGATCAGAAGTGCTTTTTGAAGGTCTTCTTCAGCCTTGGTATATTGACCAACGGACTGAAACATAGTTCCTAGACCTTCGTAAGCAGATGCTTCTCCTTGCTTGTCACCGATTTCTTTCTTGACAACTAGTGCTTTCTGAAGGTATTCTTCAGCCTTGGTATATTGACCAACAGAATGAAACACAATTCCTAGATTTCCGTAAACAGATGCTTCTCCTTTTTTGTTACCGATCTCTTTCATCATCAGAAGTGCTTTTTGAAGGTGTTCTTCAGCCTTGGTAGATTGACCAACAGTTTGGAACACAGTTCCTAGACTATTGTAATGTAATGCTGCTCCCTCTTTGTTACCGATTTCTTTACTGATCAGTAGTGCTTTTTGAAGATATTTTTCAGCCGTGGTATATTGACCAACAGATTTCAACACAGTTCCTAGTTTTCCGTAATCTGATGCTTCTCCTTGTTTGTCACCGATTTCTTTGCGGATCAGTAGTGCTTTCTGAAGGTATTCTTCAGCCTTGGTATATTGACCAACAGAATGAAACACAGTTCCTAGATTTCCGTAAGCAGATGCTTCTCCTTTTTTGTCACCGATCTCTTTCATCATCAGAAGAGCTTTTTGAAGGTGTCCTTCAGCCTTGGTAGATTGACCAACAGTTTGGGACACAGTTCCTAGATTTGTGTAATGTAATGCTTCTCCTTTTTTGTCACCGATTTCTTTACTGATCAGCAATGCTTTCTGAAGGTATTCTTCAGCCTTGGTATATTGACCAACTGAATGAAACACATCTCCTAGTTGTTTGTAAGCAGATGCCTCTCCCTTTTTGTCTCTGATTTCTTTGCTGATCAGTACTGTTTTCTGAAGGTATTCTTCAGCCTTGGTATATTGATCAACAGAATGAAACACAACTCCTAGACTTCCGTAAGCAGATGCTTCTCCTTGTTTGTCACCGATCTCTTTCATCATCAGAAGTGCTTTTTGAAGGTGTTCTTCAGCCTTGGTATATTGACCAACAAAGTGAAACAGAGCTCCTAGAAATCCGTAATCTGATGCTTCTGATGATGATGATTTCTGTAAGCAAATGCTTCTCCTTTTTTGTCACCGATTTCTTTCCCGATCAGTAGTGCTTTCCGAAGGTATTCTTCAGCCTTGGTATATTGACCAACATTGTAAAACACAGTTCCTAGATTTCCGTAACCAGATGCTTCTCCTCGTTTGTCACCGATCTCTTTCATGAACAGAAGTGCTTTTTGAAGGGCTTCTTCAGCCTTGGTATATTGACCAACAGACTGAAAAATAGTTCCTAGATTTTCGTAAGCAGATGCTTCTCCTTGCTTGTCACCGATCTCTTTCATCATCAGAAGTGCTTTTTGATTGTGTTCTTCAGCCTTGGTTGATTGACCAACAGAATGAAACATAGTTCCTAGATTTCCGTAATCTAATGCTTCTCCTTTTTTGTCACCGATTTCTTTCCTGATCTGTAGTGCTTTCTGAAGGTATTCTTCAGCCTTGGTATATGAACCAACTGGAAGAAACACAGCTCCTAGATGTTCGTAAGCAGATGCCTCTCCCTCTTTGTCACTGATTTCTTTGCTGATCAGTAGTGCTTTCTGAAAGTATTCTTCAGCCTTGGTATATTGACCAACAGATTTCAACACAGTTCCTAGATTTCCGTAAGCAGATGCTTCTCCTTGTTTGTCACCGATTTCTTTCAATATCAGAAGTGCTTTCTGAAGCTGTTCTTCAGCCTTGGTATATTGACCAACTGAATGAAACACAGCTCCTAGATATTTGTAAGCAGATACCTCTCCTTTTTTGTCACCGATCTCTTTCATCATTATAAGTGCTTTTTGAAGGTGTTCTTTAGCCTTGGTAGATTGACCAACAGTTTGGAACACAGTTCCTAGATTTGTGTAATCTAATGCTTCCCCTTTTTTGTCACCGATTTCTTTCCTGATCAGTAGTGCTTTCTGAAGGCATTCTTCAGCCTTGGTATATTGACCAACAGAATGAAACACAGTTCCTAGATTTCCGTAAGCAGATGCTTCTCCTTGTTTGTCACCGATTTCTTTCAATATCGGAAGTGCTTTCTGAAGCTGTTCTTCAGCCTTGGTATATTGACCAACTGAATGAAACACAGCTCCTAGATATTTGTAAGCAGATACCTCTCCTTTTTTGTCACCGATCTCTTTCATCATTATAAGTGCTTTTTGAAGGTGTTCTTCAGCCTTGGTAGATTGACCAACAGTTTGGAACACAGTTGCTAGATTTGTGTAATGTAATGCTTCTCCTTCTTTGTCACCGATTTCTTTACTGATCAGTAGTGCTTTCTGAAGGCATTCTTCAGCCTTTGTATATTGACCAACAGACTGAAACATAGTTCCTAGATTTTCGTGAGCAGATGCTTCTCCTTGCTTGTCACCGATTTCTTTCTTGATCACTAGTGCCTTCCGAAGGTATTCTTCACTCTTGGTATATTGACAAGAAGATTGAAACACAGTTCCTAGATTTTCGCAATCTGATGCTTCTCCTGCTTTGTCACCGATTTCGGTCCTGATCACTAGTGCTTTTTGAAAGTATTCTTCAGCCTTAGTATATTGATCAACAGATAGGAACACAGTTCCTAGATTTTCGTAAGCAGATGCTTCTCCTTGTTTGTCACCGATTTCTTCACTGATCAGTAGTGCTTTTTGAAGGTATTCTGCAGCCTTGGTAGATTGACCAAGAGTTTGGAACACAGTTCCTAGATTTGTGTAATGTAATGCTTCTCCTTCTTTGTCACCGATTTCTTTACTGATCAGTAGTGCTTTCTGAAGGCATTCTTCAGCCTTTGTATATTGACCAACAGACTGAAACATAGTTCCTAGATTTTCGTGAGCAGATGCTTCTCCTTGCTTGTCACCGATTTCTTTCTTGATCACTAGTGCCTTCCGAAGGTATTCTTCACTCTTGGTATATTGACAAGAAGATTGAAACACAGTTCCTAGATTTTCGCAAGCTGATGCTTCTCCTGCTTTGTCACCGATTTCGGTCTTGATCACTAGTGCTTTTTGAAAGTATTCTTCAGCCTTAGTATATTGATCAACAGATAGGAACACAGTTCCTAGATTTTCGTAAGCAGATGCTTCTCCTTGTTTGTCACCGATTTCTTCACTGATCAGTAGTGCTTTTTGAAGGTATTCTGCAGCCTTGGTAGATTGACCAAGAGTTTGGAACACAGTTCCTAGATTTGTGTAATGTAATGCTTCTCCTTCTTTGTCACCGATTTCTTTACTGATCAGTAGTGCTTTCTGAAGGTATTCTTCAGCCTTTGTATATTGACCAACAGACTGAAACATAGTTCCTAGATTTCCGTAAGCAGATGCTTCTCCTTGCTTGTCAGCGATTTCTTTCAATATCAGAAGTGCTTTCTGAAGCTGTTCTTCAGCCTTGGTATATTGACCAACTGAATGAAACACAGCTCCTAGATATTTGTAAGCAGATACCTCTCCTTTTTTGTCACCGATCTCTTTCATCATTATAAGTGCTTTTTGAAGGTGTTCTTCAGCCTTGGTAGATTGACCAACAGTTTGGAACACAGTTGCTAGATTTGTGTAATCTAATGCTTCCCCTTTTTTGTCACCGATTTCTTTCCTGATCAGTAGTGCTTTCTGAAGGCATTCTTCAGCCTTGGTATATTGACCAACAGACTGAAACATAGTTCCTAGATTTTCGTGAGCAGATGCTTCTCCTTGCTTGTCACCGATTTCTTTCTTGATCACTAGTGCCTTCCGAAGGTATTCTTCACTCTTGGTATATTGACAAGAAGATTGAAACACAGTTCCTAGATTTTCGCAAGCTGATGCTTCTCCTGCTTTGTCACCAATTTCGGTCTTGATCACTAGTGCTTTTTGAAAGTATTCTACAGCCTTAGTATATTGATCAACAGATAGGAACACAGTTCCTAGATTTTCGTAAGCAGATGCTTCTCCTTGTTTGTCACCGATTTCTTCACTGATCAGTAGTGCTTTTTGAAGGTATTCTGCAGCGTTGGTAGATTGACCAAGAGTCTGGAACACAGTTCCTAGATTTGTGTAATGTAATGCTTCTCCTTCTTTGTCACCGATTTCTTTACTGATCAGTAGTGCTTTCTGAAGGTATTCTTCAGCCTTTGTATATTGACCAACAGACTGAAACATAGTTCCTAGATTTCCGTAAGCAGATGCTTCTCCTTGCTTGTCACCGATTTCTTTCTTGATCACTAATGCTTTCTGAAGGTATTCTTCAGTCTTGGTATATTGACAAGTAGATTGAAACACAGTTCCTAGATATCCGTAAGCAGATGCCTCTCTTTGTTTGTCATTGATTTTCGCTTTTCTGATCACTAGTGCGTTTTGAAGGTGTTCTTCAGCCTTGGTATATTGATCAACAGATAGGAACACAGTTCCTAGATTTCCGTAAGCAGATGCTTCTCCTTGTTTGTCACCGAGTTCTTTCTTGATTACTTGTGCTTTCTGGATGTATTCGCCAGCCTTGGTATATTGACCAACAGATTGAAACACAGTTCCTACATTTACGTGATCTGATGCTTGTCTTTGTTTGTCATGGATTTTCGCTTTTCTGATCACTAGTGGTTTTTGAAGGTGTTCTTCAGCCTGGGTATACTGATCAACAGATAGGAACACGGTTCCTAGATTTCCGTAAGCAGATGCTTCTCCTTGTTTGTCACCGATTTCTTTCTTGATTATGGTATATTGATCAACAGACTGAAACTCAGTTCCTAGATTTCGGTAATCTGATGCTTCTCTTTGTTTGTCATGGATTTTCGCTTTTCTGATCACTAGTGCTTTTTGAAGGTGTTCTTCAGCCTTCGTATATTTATCAACAGATAGGAACACAGTTTCTAGATTTCCGTAAGCAGATGCTTCTCCTTTTTTGTCACCGATTTCTTTCTTGATTACTTGTGCTTTCTTAATGTATTCGCCAGCCTTGGTATATTGACCAACAGATTGAAGCACAATTCCTAGATTTCCGTGACATATTCCAGCTCCGCGATTGTTTCCAGTCTCAGCCATGATGCTGAGTGCTTTCTCGTAAAACTATTTTGCTTCCTCGTATTTGCTTCTTTGATGGTAGTTGTAGGCTAGTTTAAGTAATATTTTCCCTTCTTAAATTTTTAGCCACTATTGTGTAATGTCACATGAAGTTTTTTACCACATTCTATCGCACGGGTGTGATCGTGCATCAGAGTATAGCCATCAAGAAGTTTACGGTATACACAGATGACAATGGGTGTGGTAAGTTCTTTGATTTTCTCTAGGGCTTTGCCATTAAGGAGCACCAAACATTCGTTAAAGATGTTCACTGCTTTTATTATACGTCCAGTGTTGAAAAGGAAAGTTTCAACGACTGCACCAATATAAATGGTCTGTAGAATATCCAAGGTCTTGTCTATGACGCTTTTTTCTTAACCTTGAGAAAAAATATATTTTGAAAGTAATTAGTGAAAACAAGATTTTTAGGCAAGATAATCAAGCTTTCATGTAGGATGTACTGGGGTAGGTCCCGATTATAAGAGTTGGACTGTCATTTCTTTGGCCTATTCTATACTTAATTGTTGAATCTGGAAATGTAGAATATCTAAATAAATAGTTTTGGAGAGTAGTTTGTAACCTAGTGTTTACCATCATACACTGTATTGATAAAAAATCTGGAAAATATAACTATTTCGGTCTCAAGATTTGTTGGTCAAAGGTTCTCTCTTACTCCTGACTCATTCCCCACCCTGTTTGATATCTTTACTTACCGTTCGCAATATAAAATACTTACTAGACTCTTTAAATAATAAATATATGAATTTCATATACTGGAATTGCGGAATGAAGAAAAAAATGTAGAGATTCCGCTTTTCCAATCTATGAAATTTATTATTATATAACCACCAGTGAAATACCAGGTGAGCTTTCGCGCGAAAATATTTTGAGCAGTTGTCTGTAAGATTCGAGCTATATTCATTTGGTAAGTCGCTGCCACGTTATCTCACCGAATTGGCTAAAAATTGGTATGTAGACTTGATTTGGGGTCTTTAATAACGAATAGGTAACTTTAGGTTCTAATTCCTCCTATTTTGGGAATTATCGACATGGCCGGTTTTGGCATGGGTGCCTCGTACCGGCGCTATATTGGTTAATAGAAGCTGTTTTTGAGCATTCGACTACAACCCTGTCTTTAATGCAAATCTTCCATTGGCGATACACATTGAAAGAATTATCCCTCTTCATTAAATTTTTAGAAAGTACTTCGAAATTGATAACGTTTTCGCAACGATCGATTATACTTTTGCTCGGTATACTTTCTGAATTTTTGACACCCGCAAAATTAACAGAAATTCAAAGGCGTATATCTCTCTTGCCACATCGCATTGAAGCTTGCCACTCGCCATGAATACTCATTGTTTATAGTTAAATCGAATTCGTTAATAAAAGAAATTGGGCAAATTTAACGGAGCAGAAACAAAAGCTAGTAATGAATGGAAGAGTGTTCTAGCGACTTTGTCAATAAGATTCACAGCGAATACTCGCCATGTGTTGGCAAAATTACAATCGATAATAGAGTCGCTGTCACTAAATCTGTACAATAAAATTAGCCTTCATAATAGCGAAGCTCTCTCTCGCGCGCAGCGCACGCCAGCGGAGCACCATGGGTAATTAAATCTACCCATCCCGGAAAATTTGGTAATCACGTGACCGTACACTGCCCGCAGCCCGCCCGTCCGTCCGCACCACAGGGAAACCAATGTTCAATCTCACACTTTCTAGCTAATTTGGGAGCACAGGAAAACTGATATTGCACACATATTGCAAGTCAATGTTGTGATCAATATTGACAGCTGTCAAAATAGGGTCATCGGGAGAAATGGTCGGACATTTAGGCATATCAATGAGCCATTGAGGTGGGCAAATCAGGCATGAATGTGCCAAGAAAGCGGCATAATAATAGAGAAAACAGGCGATTTTGGCGCAGCAGAGTGACTAAAATCGTCATTTCGGTACTTAAAAAGATGAATTCTTTAACATTATAGAGCGAATTCTTTAAGTTAAAGGATTAATCTATCATTCCAGCTAAATTTCAAGTAAAATAAATGAGAATTGGGTGCAGACTTTTAGCACTGAAAATCAGACTTTTTACAGTATTTTCAGTATGGAAAACGACCCTTGTTAAACATCGAATTTCTTCTAAAATAATCAGAAATCTTCAGATTATAGAGAGGATGATTTAAGACAAAGGCCTTACCTACACGTGGATAGCTTTTTTGCGAAAATTTGACTCGATTAAGTTGCAGACTTTTGAGTTTGAAAATATATAGTTTAAAGTTAGCGCGCAGTCGGAGTGAAGTCATTGTCTTAGTCGAAACAATGGTTGCCATGAAAAAACAATACGGGGTCGCTTTGAACAGCAGAGAACATTGAGAAGCCAGTCGCGCGCGAAATTTAAAGACATCAGAGCACTTGTGGCTTGCGTTTGCTACTTGTTTTCAAGATATCTGATTCACGTTTAACTACATAGTTACACAGGTTCGGTTATGTTATAAGCTTATCTAGGTTCAGATTGGTTATTGGCGGTTTCATCTGCACGAATATCACCATTTTCGACACCCTTTTCGACTGAAAATTTACATAGAGCCTCCAATTCTCTTTAAAGAGCGCGGCATAACTTTTCAATAAATATTTCTTGCTATCGTTTTCTATATTAAACGTCCCTCTTTTTTGACTTCAATCTCTTTATTGCGCGTCCGACCGGCGTATTCAGGAGACTAACTTCCGATGCGAAAGGGCCGATTCTAAACTTCGCACCGATCACTCTAGTTGTGCGTTATCTTCGTTCAAATGTACCTATTAAAGGCAAACTGACTTCTTTTTTGACTCCACTTTTTCTCTACCGCCGTCTTACTCAGAGAAATCAGTTAGAGCTCCGTCAAAACTCTAATGCGAGGAAACGAAACTAAAATTTTCGACTCATCTTTAAGTCAGTTATCTGTAAAGAGTAATTAAAATGCGTAATGGTGTGATCTGGCCTCACAAAAGGGAAAACAATAGAGAGATTGGGCTACTGTTAGTTTCACCCGCCTACTCCACGATGAATAGTACTGCCGCGCGTTCATGGTAACCAATGAAAAAGACTCCTGTTCAGCATTTTAGAATAACAATAAGCGATATGACAGACCTAGAAGCTTTCACCAACTCTAAGTAAATGTCCCGAGAACAATGGCCATTTCTCCCGATGATCCGCTGACCAGTATCACCTGACCGTATCGCGGGCTCAGGTGTGGACCCATCGAGGTCGAGTATGTTTTTGAAGTTATCCGCTTACAAATTAGTAGTTTTCAAGTGATCGCAGGCTCAAGTTTAATTTTTTTTAAATTCATATGAAATATGCGTTTATGTGCCGTACAATGAAAATTTTGATTTCAAACTGACCTCGGACGCAAAAATTTAGCCAGCTATTACAGGTAGGGAAGTACAGTAGCTTTTGACTTTTCTCACCATGGTCACGCGTTGGTCACGCTTTACGTCCTATTTTTATGCTCTGATTGTTCAAAATTTGACAGGTGAGTTCATGCGGCAAATTTATGCAGCATCTTGAATCTTGTTTACTTTGACAGCTGAAGCTGACAGAGTTTTGTTTCAACTTGTGACTTGTGATGTTTTTAACCGCCTTTTTCTACTGGATGTACAAGAAATGAAATTCAGCTGCTATCAAGAGACTTCTGTTATTCGTGGCTAGTTTGTTTAATGGGTTTTTAATTGAGAAATACGTCGCTTGTCAAAGTTGGAAATCCGATTTGGGATGGCATCGTTTTCGTGTTTCACCTTGCTTGATGCGTAAGAGAGTTGAAAAGTCTGAAGCGATTCGGGCGTTACTTGATAGCTTCCAGGAGCTGCATCTTGAATGGTAAGCCTGAGTAAATATATTATTATTGTATTTGATGTTTGTTTTTTATATCTAATTTAATGAAGTCGAGAGTAGTTTATGCGGCTATTTAGTTTATGCACGTTTGTACGATTTGAGAAAATGGTCTGACCGAGTATCAGGTTTGATGTAAGCTTACAGAACTTTAAAACGCCCGGCCTTAGACATTTTCTCACCGCAAATAGAAAGAAGACGTTCCAAAGAATATTTAGTTATAATTGTGGCTTTAAGGGAAAGCTTTGAGCGATTTTCTTGCCTCAAGTTCATCTTTGAAAAAAGCAAACACCGGGAAGCCGTTTGTAACATAGACTGACTAAAGTGATGACATCATGAAAATGAGATTTCTGGAATTAACATGGGATTTGTCAGGATATTTTGAAAGAACAATGTCCAAGAGGCCTACTTACCAAAAATGAGCATTTTGGGGCAAACTGTCTCTGAGATGTTAGGCGGTTATACTTAGAAAACTGCATACAAACCCTTCTGGCGCACCGAACAAGAAACGTATCCACTCCAGTTTTCAGAGGGAATGTACGGAAACTCTGTGCGCATTTATTTACAAGAGTCTTCGAACTCTTCCATAAAAGAAAGTGCTTAGAAATGCTTTCCCAAAAAAAATACACCTCTAGCTTGAAGCAGAAGAGGATCGAAATTTGGTTACGTTCAGTATCCAATTACCCTGCTAACAGAGTCTCCTTCGATCTTCCTAGATAAGTCGGGAAGAGGAAGGAACCTCTGCCGACATCCTCAACAATTCATATTGAGCATGCTCCAAATTCAAATTTTTCTGCGACGTCAATCAAACCGTTACCGTAACATCCACTGTGTCTGTCAGCAAATGTAAATGTCAGCGGGAACGTACCGGTTCGTTTTCACCCTTCCGTAGCTGTGTTTCCTCTGGATTTGGAAGCTCTATAGGAACAATTTCACCTTTGCAATCCAAACTTGCCATGTTTCAGTGTAAAGAAGATAAAAAATCCTCAGAGCTAAGGTAAAACTTACGGTGCTTTTCAAAAACAAAGCATCTAACCTTGAAACACAGAAACACACAAAACGGATCGAAATCCACCAATCACAAATCACGAACGACGACCTTTTGTTTCCTAAGAGGTTCGCTAAGATATATAAAAGGCGAGAAAGCGAAGAAAGCGCCGCTTCTTCAGATTTTGATTGAAGTCGTAGAAAAACACAAAATGCAAAGACGTTTTTGGCATCGCAAGTCGGGTGTTATCCACAAACAGCTGTAAAAGCATCGATCATTTAAATGAGCAACATGGATTCTGTAGCCTCATGATCTTATTTTGAATTAACGTTATCGCAAACACAGAAGAATAACCACAGATATTGTTTCTCAAATATTTTTATTCAAAATCCATTTGTTTATCCTTACAAAAACTTCTCGTAACACTTATGCCGTGTTTAGACTTGAGCGTGCTACCGAGGTATTGGAGTTAACTTACCTAGGTAAATATTTTGGGTGTGTAAACGCCAACTGATACCCTGGTAAACACCGCTCAAGGCAATAGAAAGTTAACTAAGGTAAAAGTTCGGTTTGCCCTGCGAAAAGGCATGGTTAAGGTCGGTAACCAAGGTTTGGATGACAGATACATCCGCTTGCGGTCGCATAGAATTTCACGTCCTGTGGTGTCGGGATTGCGTCAGTCTCATTCGATCACGTTTTCGAGACCCGGTTTTCGACCAGGTTTCCACGTTTGGTTTCGGTCTACGAAGAAGCTATGGCAAAAAACAAAGACACAAATCATTACGAATGCGACCAACCCGAAAGGTAAAGTTAACACCGTTGTATAGCTAATTTGTACATATAAATATTTCTTTCTTGTGGTGATTGTTGATCCTCGCGTTGTTTCGCCAGGGAAGATGCATATTCCACGTTGTCGCCATTTTCCTATGCAAGACAACAAGGGCTACAACCCTCCCCGTACAATCAACAGTTCATGCCGCAGCAATACTGTTCCACCAATGATGTCCTCGATGCAGATGATGGCACCATTCACTCATTCGCCTGGCCATGCGGTTCAGGCTTCGCAGTTTTCGGATCCGCCTACATCGAGTCAAGAAAACGCAGAAAACGGAGCGCAAAGGAAAAAAAATCGATGGACTGACACCGAAGAAAAGATTCTAATTGAACTGTTCGGCGAGAACGAGGATAAACTTCGCTACCGGTCGTTCAATTCCCCGGAGTGGCAGTCTATCGCCAGGCAACTGCAAGAAAGGTGCAGACGAGAGAACGTCGAAAGCGAGAAATCTGCCCAGCAGTGCAAAAATAAAATGGCAAACCTCACCAAAAAGTACAAGAACGTGAAAGATAAACTAAGGACCACTGGATATGGAAAGGGAGGAGACGACGAACACGAAGACAAGGAAACCGAGAGTGGAACTGGGCTCATACCAAGAAATTTTCACGATATAGATAACATTTTAGGCCACCGAGAAGCTGTTAATCCCAAGCACGTGCTGGAAAGCAGCTCACAACACGTCGACAGTTCCCCTGAAATTGATCAAGATTTGCTGGAAAAGGAGGCCTTAGATGAGGAGATGTGGGCAGCTGCTCGCGCCCAAAAGGAGAGGGATACGCCTGGCACGTCTGGCGCTGATGGCTCTGAAGAAGAGGACGCAGATCTGGCTTTCGCGAAATCACTGTTCTTCAAGAACAAAAGCGGAAAAAGGAAGGGCCCGAGCACGAGCACACCCAATCCAAAGAGTCGCGCGGTAGAATTGGCGAAATCGGCGAAAAAGAATCCTAGAAAGAAGACCAAAGGTGGGGCTGGCGCAGAGGAACAAAGCGCAGTCCTTTCGTTCCTTGAAAGGGCACAAGAAAAGGATGAGGCCTTTATGGAGAGGATGGCCGAGGCAGAAAGGGTAAAAAGACAACAACAGCAAAAATTTTCAATGGATGCATTGGCGATGTTAGGAAATATTCTTAAGGATGTCACCAAAGGCAAAGAATAAATAACTAGAGTCTTTTATTCATTTTTCCTTGCATTTCATTCGTTTCTGTTCGTTGACGGTGATCATTATAATCACCATTAGGTGACAATCTGGACGTTTCTATATACAAGGATTTTTTATGAAAGGATTATAGTTTAATTAAATCAGTTATTTCCCTGGGAGCAGAGTCTCCTTTCATTTTTCAAGAAAACGAGGGAAAGAGCAATCACAATTTATAAGCACGAATTCAAATAATAATGGAATATTAGCAAAACAAATAAAAAAATTGTTAATTAATTTTAGGGAAAACTGTTCCTTTCGTGATACGATATACAAAACGAAATAGAAAACAGTTAATTGGGTGAATGATTCAGCCAAAAAAATATTCTCTATTTTTACATTGAAAAGGTAACAGCAACAGTAATATTGTAATAAATACATATTTTTACAAAGAAGTGGATATTGAAAAACGCAACAAGGTTTAAGCCTTGCAAGAAGCTGTACTTTTGAAAGTGACAATAAAAAAGTAGTCTCTATTTAATGTTTTGTTTGGGCTATGATAGATATTGCATTATATTATCTGTAATGTCCGAAGCGCCAAGCTGCATATCCCCATTAAAAGAATCTTCATCCTCATTGTCATTGTACATTCGCGTAATCCAGTGTCCTTCTTTGCCAAATCCGGAGCAACCTATCGGACAATGTATTCGAACGTACGTCTTGATATTCTAAAGTTCTCCTTCCACCATTCTTCAACAAAATTTCCGTTTAATAGCGTTTCGAACCAGAATTGGTTTCTCAGCCACGACCACGCACGTCTAACGCGCCTTGTCTTGCGAAGGGCAATTTGTAGCAGAATTAATCGCTTTCGCCTCGACCTCTTTAGGTGCTGCAAAAGTAAGAGCTGCTGCAATCTCGATTCCTGGGTTTGCTGATCAAGAGCAAGAAAATATAACGCGAGGACTACAAGAGCCACAGCTTCTCTTTTAAACGCGAGCATTTAATGCGTGGATTTAGAATTTCCCGCCAATTCGATTAGATTGCGATTGATGACAGATTTACCTTAGTTATTTGAGCCAGTATAAACACTGTACAATTGTACCAGGGTTTAGTCAGTTAATGCTTACCTTGGTAAACGCTTGAGTGTAAACACAGCATTACTGGATTGTGAGTCCGTTCACGCAGTAAAATCGGCCAAGTACGTGGTTAAATCCAAGACAAAATCCATCTCGAATCTGGGTACATTTTCCAATTTTCTACAACTGAACGTTCAATCTATAATTTTCTCAAAATGTTCAAGTTCAAAGCTCAAGAGACAGAACGGCTGTACCGTTCTCGCCATGACAAAGTACAACTAAAGTTACTCTTGTAAAAGCAACTAAGCACAAAGCCAACCCAGCAACTGATGAGGTTCGTGTGAAGAACCGAAACCATCGTCTTGCCTGATCAAAAACTGTGGCAATAAGAAAACAGTTTAAAGACTGTTAAGCTTATTGTCATTATTCAAAGCTATTACCAAAAGAGGAACTACGCGCTCCAGTCAAAAAACTCACACTCTCTTTAGAAAAACACTAAGCTGGAGTTTACTGAGTCACAATTCAAGTCTCCATAGTAAGTTTATGTAGCTTCAGTTTAAGCGACACTTCATTCTTATAATTTTGGATCTGTAAATCTCTATCCATTATAATTTAACATTGTGCAGAGAAAACTGACGAGCTGGGCCCAGCGTGATACAGCATTGCAGAGAAACATTACACTTACGGACTAAAGAAAATCGCTTACTTATTCAGTTCCAGAAGGCACTTTGGAGAAAATTGGAACCCTTATTCAGCCGTAATAAAAAAGCTTGACGCTTCAAAAGAGATCAAAGAAACTGCGCTAGCATCAGAGGGCAAATCCTGCCAACCAGAAACAATAACCATAGTAAATCGATATGTATGTCATGATCTCTCAGTGTGAAACACGCGGCTAACACCTTTGCTCAGTGTAAATGTAGAACCTTCCAGAACATAATCTACCCAGCAGATAAAAACAACTTTATTGGAATAAGCAGCATTTTGGCATGAGGTAAAAGTCGTGTAGGCCTACCATCCCCTTTTACTCCAAGAAAATTTAGAAGGGTTTGTATGGAGTTTTCTAAGCATAACTGGGCTACGATCTCAGAGACAATTTGCCCCGAAATGCTCATTTTTGGCAAGAAGGCGTCTTGGACATTGTTCTTTCAGAATATCCTGACAAATCCCATAATTTCAGAAATTTCATTTTTATGACGTCACACTTTAGTACTGAAGACTCAGGATTTTTAGAGACACTTTAATACTTGTCTTCGTTAATGAAAATTGTGGTCTTTGCATATGTTTCACCGAATTATATTTCTTTTATTGATTGTCAGTACTCTCTCTTGCAATTTTAATCGCTGTGCCGTTTGTTTTCAGTCGTTCATGTCGTTCATGAACATCGCTTGCAGGAGTGCTCAAAATGCCGCGCGTATCAAACACTTTTGAAGATCACACATCGTCATACACCCACTAAATAAAAAATAAACGTGATAAATTCTTTATTATGTTGAGGCGTAACTCTATTAATGTTCATTCAAACACTCCACAGCTCGCAACCGGCTGGCCGTATAGGTGATTTTGAAATGTTTTTTTTAACGGTTTTGCTAAAAGCCCACGCGTGCTTCGATCGTCCTGAATATTGAATGAGTGCAATTTGTATTTCAAAATTGTGAAATACTGCATTCTGTCCAAGGTCTGTATGATAAAACAGCGCCTCATAGTATTTTTTCACCTCAGGTGATGTATAAAAAGTAGAAAAGGTTGGTTTACACGCCCCCAGATTTGTTAGCACGATTTTGTAAAGCAAACTTCTGAAACTTGTCGAACGCAAAAAATTCGGCCTGATTTGTTTTCCAGGCCTAATCTACTGTGATCAAGAGCCAATTTATGGCTCTTAAATGTAATCGAAGATGATTGCTGTTTTTTGGGTGTACATATAAGGCTATCAACTCTATTTTTAGAACAAGGGTACTGACAAGAACACAAATACCATATTTAAACTGAGATATAAAAAGAAATAACGTTTAATTAAAAGATAGAAGTCTGCGAGTCAACATTTTCCCACGTATGAAAAATTTGCATCCTAAAAAAAACAAGTAACGGAAATAATTTTGATTGGCTGATTCGGCAAATGTCAATCTATCAAAAAAAAAGTGGGCGGAAGACGTTTCGTAGAAGGTTTGTATTAGGCTCTGTTTTCGTTTCGCCATAGTTATTAGAGGAGATCGACTGGTTATGAAAAGCGACAAACATCAATGATAAAAACAACAGTGCTGCAGTTTATGTTGGAAGCACCCTGAAAGTGCACAATCCTTTGTTTTCTGTTGGCAAATTGTTACGGAATAAATTAATGCAACGTTTTTATTGGTCAATACAATCAAAATGATAGGAATTCTTTTGAAAGTTGTGCACTTTCAGGTCCACAAAAACATATAACAAAGGAGTCTGACGGGTTTCATAACCATTCCACTCAGTTAACTATGGTTTCGCCTTGTATTTAATTTTTAGGGCTTATTTTAGATCAAAGTGTGTTGACCGCATGCATCAGGTTCAAAGCAGGGGCTATCTGCGGCTGTTTGTGAAAAATTTCTACATTAAATTAAAATGCGATTTTCAGAAGTTTTTTTTTAGAATGTCCCGATCAGTCAATTCCAGCTGCACCCATTCCCCCCGGGCATTGGCATTTTTTTGCCTTGGATGTAACCTGAGATCAGGCTCTATTTTCGTTTCGCTTTGAAAATTACATTCCGGCGGGCAAGGCGAAACGAAAAGAGAGCCTGATACAAACCTTAAACGAAATGTCTGCCGCCCACTTTTTTGATTGATTGACATTTGCCGAATCAGCCAATCAGAATTACTTCCGTTGCTTGTTTTTCTAGTATGCAAATTGTTCACGCGTGGGAAAAATGCAAACTGGCTGACTTAAAAAATAGCTTTTATCTGTTAATTTTTTCAGCTAAAAATAAAACAGTCAGCACAATCACATTTAACTTCTTGCGAGATTAAGGGAGATCTCGAAGGTTACTTCTGTTGGCGTAGAAGGTAAAAAGTTTTCGAAAAGACGGCGACACGATGTTCTACTAGTTTTATTATTTTGGCTAGGCGCTCTGGAATTTAAATACTCAAATCTCTATTTTTCCGTTGTCTTGATATTTTCCTCGGCAATTTCCCCCGATTTTCAGTACATAAATCTTTAAAAACAAAAGCAAACAGCCAACGAGCGAGGACACCAGTTTTCTTGGTTTACTTTTAACAAAAAGCGTAGTCAAACAACCAGTCTGTGAGAACTGAAAATTCCTTGAACAGCGATGCGATATTTTTCGTCTAATACTTCACAGTTGGCGATTGAGGTTTCTTTTGCAGTGAGCCTCCGCTTGCGTACCCCGTTCAGAGAAGTCATTCCCGGCTAAACTTTCAAATGAAACCAGTTTTAAGATGGACAGTATTTTGATTTGCACCCGTTTGTTGGTAAATCAAAATGCACCTTGTTAGCGGTCAACAACTTGCAAAGGGATTCAACTCCGCGATACACTCACTTTCCGTAAATAAAGCAAATCCTGAGAAGATATGAACAACCACATGAATTTTCTGAATTTCCATGGCACATATTGAGGCATATTTTCCTACCAAAAAAAGACAGCAAAATCGATCCTTCTCTCCACCGACGACGGATCATTCACGAAAACAACCACGCGAGGAATAAGCGCTTTCAACTTTCGGCGTTTCCGACAGCCAATCAGATCTTGTGGCATTGTTCTAACAGCCAATCAGCGTTACGGCCAAAATCTGGCCGTAACGAGCAAAAACTTGTAATAGTTTGTATCAGGCCCAATTTCAGCGGTAGCCGTTAGAGAGAATGTATGAGAACCGCTC